TATAAGAATGCCACCAGCACAGTAACTATTGTAATAGATATCTTTTTTATTTTAGGGTTAAAAGAGCAATTTAGCCTTTAAACTATAAGTCTAAATTATTTGGGATCCTCAATTTATTTGTGCAACATTTTTTTCTTAATTTTTAAAAATCTTGCAATGTAACTTATCTTTAACAAAAGTTAACTTTGATTACTAATTAATTAAAAAATAACAAAAAAAGACTGAAAAATTACAGAAAAGGATTTGAAAGTTACAACCAAGGACCCAATAAATTATAGAATGGACAAAGAAAATTATTTTGGTCAATTTATGTAAGTTTTGATATCCCTTTCTGTTATTTTTTTGTCAATTAATAACCAAAATTAACTTTTCTTAATTATAGGGTCTGCATTGCACCATTTTCAAAAATTGAGGGGAATGTTGCACAAAAATGAGTTTAAGATTTCAAATCCTTCAAAACTTATAGTTTAAGAATTATATTGCTATTTAACCTTTTATTTTACTTGGAGATCATGGATATAAATTCACATTGTACATAATATGTATAGAATAGAAATAAATTGGTGGAAAAATTAATATTTTATTAGACATATATGGTTTCTTCACTGTCATGCATCTAATAATTCTTATTGGGCATTAATTATTATACTTTTCAATTTTTAAATTCAGGAATATATTTTATTTCAAGATTTATTAATTGTATATAATTTGTTTTCTTATCTGTAATTCTCTATAAGAAGCATCACAGTAAATGCCACAATTAATTTTTTCTGAAAAAAAATTTCACAGTTACTACTTACTAGACTTTTTTTTTTTTTTGCCAAAAAAGAGGATTATATGTGACTCACACACATGTAGCCTTCATTGTTCTTCATACATTATGGTTTTTCTTCATTAAGAGGGACTGTTTATTTGGATTTACGTTTTGCAAATCTGATAAATTATTATAATGCAAACATGGTAATAATAATAATAATAGGACTAATTAACTCAATTTGGCAGAAATAATACATGATATGTCAATCAGTTATATATACACACAGAGCCTAATCTCTCGGTTCCATATCCACAGTTCAAAAGGAGAGGTTCTGAGAAAATGGGGGAAGAAGAAAATGATATTGTCCTAAAAGCATTCATACATTGTGAAGGATGTTCAGAACAAATGTTCAAATGCTTGAGAGGCTTTGATGGTAATGTACTTTGTGTTTGTGAGAGTTTAATTATGTGTGCCTTTATATGTTGTTTTTTTAATTTCTAGTACAATTAAAATATGGCTCTAATATTGTTTTGGACAAAATCAATAATAAGCAAATTGTAATTTGTTTTTTAATAATATTTTTATGTTTAATTTATTAGTAAGATCTTACGTTAATTATTTTTAATAATATTGGTTGATTTCTTTTTTCTTTTTTTGGCCAGAAAAAAGTCATATTGGTTGGTTTCTTGAATATAGTATTTTTTGTCCGTGTAGGAAAATCCTACGGGTTTCTTGGAAAAATTTGGGAGATAGTACATAATAATAGGGGGACCGAGGATCTTTGATTAGTGGGGGCATTTTAAAAAAATTTAAAACTTCAGAATTTATTATTTAAATACAATATGTTTAATTTTAAAGATTAAGTTAAATAAAATTGATTAACTAATTATATTTTCACTTCAATACTCAAAACACGAAAATATATTTAAATCTTAGTATTACATTAAAATTTTTTTTTAAATAAAAAAATTAATATTTTAATGGGCTCAAAATCCTAAATTTTATAGCAACAAAGTACAAAATTTTGTTGACATGCATTTTTCTAAGTGGAGGCATTTACCCTCCATCAACAACACATAGGTCCGCCCCTAATCATGTGTCTATATCTCTTTTCACTCTGAGTAAGATTGATTGCTTTAAAATATTTAAATTCCAATCATTGTATTTTTAATATGAAAATCTTGTTAATAGGTAATTTAAATATATATATATATATATATATTTGTGTTTTTGAGCTGTGTGAGAATCACCCTAGCCGACTGTAAACCACAAGTCATCTAATGGACTAAAGAAAGAACGAAACAACAAAGAAAACTATATGTATATATATATTTGATTTGATTGTATGAATCAGTATTTGATGGAGGCTAAAATATATATATATATAGGAGTGGAGAAGGTGGTGGTTGATAGAGAAAATCAGAAGGTGATAGTGAGAGGAAAAGAGGCTGAGCCATTGAAAGTGTTGAAAAGACTGAGAAAGAAATACAGCAAAAATGTGGACCTCATTTCCCCAATACTGGTAAATATTATTAATCCATCTCATCAGACCCAAGAGGCACAACAACAGAAGAAAGATCCTCCACAACTCAAGATTCTGATTCTCAAGACCTTTATGCACTGTGAAGGTTGTGCAAGTGATGTGCAGAGAAGCCTTGAGAACATGAAAGGGGTTGTGTCTGTTGATGTGAACAGGGAAGACTCACAAGTTGTTGTGAGGGGTGTTGTGGACGCAACACAACTTGTTCAACATGTGAAGGATCGATTTGGGAAGCATGCTGAGATTATAAACCAAGAGGAATACTGTTGTTGCTGCTGCTGCTGCAAAATGGAACCTGAAGATGAGAACACAAATAATGAAGAAGAGATCAGTAATAATGAAGATGTGATTGTGTTCTCTAATCCTCCTCAGTATTCTACACAGTGCCTTTATCCTTGCCAAACTTTTAGTGATGAAAATGTGTTTTCTTGTTCGCTCATGTAAGAAGTTCCAGCCAATTCTTTTGATGATTGAATTGGCACATGTTTGTAAACCAGCACAATTAATTTTTTTTAAACAAATTTGCCCTTAAACTATAAGTTTAGGAGCGTTTTGAATTTAAGATTCTTGACATTCTGAACTTATGATTTAGGCACTAACTTGCTTTTTTACCTTTTTATTTTTTATTTTTTTGAGAATACTAGTTATAACCAAATAATATGAAGAGTCTAAAATTAATGCTGATTTCATTCAGATGAGTGTACATTAGGTCTTTGACATGGATTGGGATCTTCTAGTTTAGCTTCAGCTGGTCAAATTTTAATTGTTTTAGTTAAAATAAATTTTTTATTTTGGTTGCGGAAAACATTATTTAAAAAGATAGGGTTACAATATGGATTGTTTAATTTTTTTATAAGATATTAATTGATTTATAGGTAGTTGAATGTTTATTAATACACAAACTTTCTTCATACCTATTTACTTGCCCAGAAAAAAACAGACTAAGGAAAAGACAAAATTTACATACTACATAAGGATTATTTTTTCCTTGTCAGTTTTACCCTCCATTTAATGTTATTCTATTTCAAATCTTAACTATATCCATGTTATTAGAAACAAAAAATAATTATACCTTAAACGTTGGATTAAGACTTATATGTAGAAACAAAATGGAAATTCAAATCAGGACAAAAAAAAAGTGTTATGGACTTATGGTAAATTGTATAAAGTTTGAAAAATGAATTTGTTTGTGCTAAAATATGATTTTTGCCTCAAGCCCAACTATTTTGGCAAAAAATTTGGTCCTAAGCTTACCAAGGTTTTTTAGATGAAAGGAAGTCATGAAAAAACTTTGTCAAGCACACGTTATTTTGAAAAAGAGACAAAAGTGAAGAAACATGAGAAAATTATAGCTAATGATCTTAAAAAAGTGAAACATAAATTATAAGAAACATTGCCACTTGGTGCTTACAAAAGGAGAAAGCCATACACATATGCGACTCTTCAACTCTCCACTCACATTTCTGTACAATCTTTTTGAACATTTCAGCAACTCAATCTAGTTGCCCATTGCAAAATCCTTTACCTTGCATCATTTTTTACTTTGCTTAATGCGACTTTTTTTTTTCTTTTAGCAAATTCAACATAACACCCTTAACACATCATACATCCAATAAAAAGCAGTTAATTCTTCAGTGACTAATAAAGTATTAGCTTTTGTGCCCTAATGTTTTGCTTTTTAGTTTTTCATCTTTTATTTTCTCTAATATTAATTATATGTATTTTTGGTAATTAAAGGGGCCAAGCCCAGTTACAAAATAAAACTAAACAGAGTCTTTTTTTTTTTGGGTCAAAACTAAATAGAGTCTTGGGATTGAGATTCCATATTCTCCCTATGCACAGTGTCCTTTAGGAAAAAAGAACAGAAGTAAAAAAACTCAGATCCATCTGTTCCTTTTTTTGCCAACGTTTCCGCAGCATGATTCAGATCATGGGGGGCATAATTAATCTGCACCTTCCAGTTGCAGAGCAACATATTAGAAATTTCCAACGAGACATTGGTGAAGATAATAATATTGATTGATTAGTTAGCATGATGTGGGTCTGGGTTTCAGAATATCACTCTTTATCCACTAGTCAAGAGCTTGGCCCAATCCAAGTATCAATTCAATTAATTTATTAATTATTAATTACTTTATTTATTTTAAATTATAAAACACTTTTAAATAAAATTTCACATATCAATAAATTTTATTAAATACATTTCATAATTTTATTTTTTTAAAATAAAATATAAATTTTTAAAAATATTTATCATTTAATATTTTAAAAAGAGAAGAGATAAAAATTAATTATAAAGAAAGAATAAATAATATTAAAATTAATGTATTTAATAAAATTTTAATATATTTAAAATGTTTTATATTTTAAGATAGAAATTTTTTTTATAAGTGTTTTATAATTTAAAATGAATGGAGTAATTAATTAAAAGGCAACAAAATGAAGGAGAACAAAGAACCGTTGTGGTGCCACTGGAGGCGAGAATAGAATATTCCAACGTGGAGCCTGTGCCTTAGCGTCGGGCAATGACGTTCAGCCTCCAACGACTAGTTTCGGCAGCAAAACGTGGAAGCAATATAATATAATATAAAAAAAATAAAATTAAAAATAATAATAAATATAAAAAATAGTAATTGTTATTAATACTTTGTCTGGCTCTGTGTCGCGCGTTATGCTTCGCCAACGTCCCTCACCATCTCTTGCGGTCAGAAAAGTCAGATTCATCCACGTGTCTTAATTCTTCTTCTCCGTCCACCCATCCGTTAGCCCCGCTCAGTTTCTTCTCGTTCTGCAGCTTCCCCTCCGCCATTGAAGAGCCAAAAAAACAAAAAGAAAAAAAAAATCCTAAATAAAGTAGTAAATTTCCATTCAAATGGGAAAACTGCTGTGCGATTCGACGACCGTTACCGAGCCCTTTCAAGGTTCGTCGCCGATTGTCCCTTGGAGGGATCCGAAATCCGCGCCCCTTGAAGCCATCAAAGCCGTAGATCTAGTTAACCAGACGAGTGTCGCCGCCGTCAACGACGGTTGGGAAGACGTTCTTGGCTTAGAAGAGCAGCAACGGCGGCACCTACAAAGGCTGCAGTCTAAGGGCGTGCTTTGGAAGGCTCCCGAGGATGACCATTCCTCTACCCTTAGATCCGTCGTTTTCCGCCTTTCTCATGGCGGTGAGGTCTCGGCCGACGGCAACTGCCTCTTCACGGCTTCACAGAAGGCGATGGGCGGTGAAATCGGCGCGCGGGATCTGAGGAAGCGCACGGTGAGAAGGTTCTTGGAAGATCTTGGATCTGCGACTTTTCAGGAGAGGGAAAGCATTGACGATGCGATTCGGCACATGTACTCGCCGGATCTGAGGAATGGGTGGGGTGTGCATGTTGTCCAGGAGGTGAAGTTGTTGGCCAATAAGGGGGATCGCGTAGCCCTTGATTCGGCCATCGATGAGCTCGTTCTCCTTGGGATGCAAAGGTATCGTTCGTTGGGCTCATTTTTAGTTCGACTAGTTTCCTTTTTCCCATTTTCTTCTTTGTGCAGGAAGGTCACGCTAGTCTATTGAACGCATATTTAGTAACCCGCTTTTCTACCTAAAAACGTGTTAAGAATTAGGACAGTAATCACGATAGCATGTGAATAGGCTTCTGAATCAACTTTTTCTGGAATTCCAATACCTTCAGATCTTATATACACCTGATAGACTTTATCAGTTAGGTTCGCTAATTTCTTTAGGTGTCTTTGGCTATTCTAATTTCTTGGGAAACCTATTTCCAGTTCTAGACGCTATTTTACTTTCTTTTACCGTCTCATTGATGATATGGCACACTATAGCTTAGTGAACTCGGCTCACCATTGAGTCATGTATTTTGGTAAAGCCTTAGGGACATTAGGAGTTACGATTTATACTATATATTTTTTGAGAACTTGTCAATCTTTCTCTCACTTCTTAGCAGAGAGAGTGCAGTTTCTTTCCTGCTTAAATGATTTGCCTTTGAAATATTATGCTTTTAAATGGATATGAGCCCAGAATGCTGTTACTTTTACCACTACTTGTTTTCTTTACTATCTACTTTCTTGATTGAAGAGAAATGGCGGCAGAGTCTATTTACAAAGAGAGATGCGTCCCAGTGAATGACGGTCCCAGTTGGGCCAAATACATGTTGCTCTCTGGATCTTCTGACGATGAGTATGATATCATCACTTTGCAATATACTGAAGAGGGCTTGTTATCTGTAGATGAGAATCGAGAGGGTCATGCCGCAGCATTTGGTGATGATATAGCCATCGAGTGCCTAGCAACTGAGTTCAAGAGAGAGATATATGTGGTAAGTAGTCTAGGATGCTTTATTTTAGGGCTGGATTTTTTTTTTTCTTGTATTAATAAGCTTAAGTTCTGACATAAATGTGGAAATTTTCAGTAGCTCTTATTCATCATCCCATGAGAGTTCATGGATGAGGAAATTTAATTTTTACGTTAATTTTTTTTAAGTAAATCACGCAAATTTCTTCCGAATTTTGCTGAAACCACATAGAATTTATCTCTATGTTTCAAAATATATTCAGACCTTCTCAAAACATAGTTATCCCCTACTATTCTCAATTAATCTATATACATACCTTTTAAAACAAAAAAAAGTAAATAGAGCGTGTTTTGATAAGAAAATTAAAATTAGATTGACGTTTAAAGTTGCCTTTTATTTAAAATGAGTTAAATATAATGAATTAATTAAAATGAGTTATCATATATATATATATATATATTGATATTGAAAATAGCAAGGAAATTGTCTATGAAACTTTTAACAATTTAGAGGAGGATTGTTGAATTTAATTTACTCTTTCATTTGACAATTGACTTGTCTGCACTTTTTGCATACATGTGGAAGTTGTCATCTTTCATAGAGATTTCGTCTAAGGTTATATTTAATTATTTTCAGGTGCAAGCACATGGTTCTGATGCAATGGTTGACGAAGAAAACTGTGTTTTCTTCCTTCCACATCGTCCGAGGAGCCAAATTCTGGAACCTCCCATTTTTCTCTTCATGAAAGGAACAGGTAATGAAGCAGAGGCTAATTTTGTATACCTTTTCAGTGGTAGGCTTGGTTAGTTGGAGGCTAAATCGAGAGACTTTATTGGTCGAAAAGTGACCCTTTTGAAGACTAAATTAAAGGTCACAAAAATGGGGGAAAAAGAAAGACCTTATTAAAGGGTTTTATCTTGAGACAACCGAATTAAGGAGAGAATAATCTTTTACTGGACCAAATTGTTGGAGGCTAAATTGAGAGACTACAGAAGATCCAAGAATTGAATGTCACCAAGAAAGAAGAAGAAGACCGTATCAAAGGGTTTTATCTTAAGAAAAAAAAGTTAATAAGAGAATGATCTTATAAATACCAAATCATTGCTCTACCTTGTTTGGTTGGGTTTTATCATTTCTTGCCACTTATTTTTTTATGCTCTGGGACAAATATTTTCTTTGCCTCTTGAGCCTTCTAGGTAAGGTAGAAAGGCTAGATACCTAATGTCTGTTAATGTCATTTCCAAATCGATTCTGTATGAAATTTTTGCCATTGCAGGTTGGTGCGGTGCTGGGGCTGACCATTACGAGCCCCTGATTGCTCATCCCTCCTCGGCGGTTTCGCCAGAGAAGGTTGCTGTTGTACTGTGAGGCTCTCGGCCTGCAATTTTGTGGAATAGACATTGAGAGTAGTCTAGATTTTTCTCCCCTCTTATTTATGGTTGGTATGCAGTGTGGCTCCCCTGATGATGAATGCTACAAGGGGAATAATATCATTGCATAGCATTTATATTTTCTTTTTGGTTTCCGTCATTTAAAAATCAATTATCATTGACTCCTAGAAGGCAGGTTTGCCTGCAGTTGAGCAACCCCTAGAGTACTTTTTTTTGTGTAGTTTTGCCGGCTTCTGTTGTTGTTGTTCCTTTTTGTTGAGAGTTGAATAGAGAAGGAGGGTACATCATGTAGGTAGTGTGTTGTTCAAACTGAAGGTTGTATCCTGGTGGGTGAGTTTCATCAATTGAATGAAGGAAAGTGACTTCTTGTTTATTATTTTTTTTTTTGGTGCCTTGTACGACTAGTCGTTTTTAGAAATCTAATGCTGAACTTTGACCTTCTTTGCATGGAACTTTGACCTTATAAATTTCAATGCATGGAATCTCAGGCATCAGCATAACTAAGTGCCATGCCCATGCTCATGAAGGTGATTGGAACGGAGACCCTTTCAAGCATACTGTTTCTGGGTCTGAATCTACTTTTGTATGCCCCTTTCTCCCTCTCCCCCCCCCCTCTCCCTCTCACTCACACGCACACACACTTGAATCCTAATTGTGTTGATCTCCTTTCGGTAACATCTTCATGAGTGTGAATCATGTGGGGAAACTCTTGTTAAATAAGGTAGATTTGTGATTAATTTTTTTTGAGCAACGATTTGTGATTTAGGTTTAGTCTTTGTAGTTTTTTAAATTGATGATAATGAATTAATACTTGGAGCTGTAGCTAACTTTGGTCAAAGTATCTGTCGTTCTCGAACATCATCGTTACGTTAGTGATGTGTTATTTTATGGATTTTGATCAAAATTTACCGTAATTCTAATAACTAAGTTTTTAATAAAAATTTTAGAAACTTGCTAAGCTTCAGTAATCACAGCCTCTAAGAACCCAAAAAAAAAAAAAAAAACTATTTTGAGGAGTATTTTATCTTTGTAGTCTAAGTCGAGAATTGCATGGACGCGTGGCACATCGTTTTCTCCTCAAGTTAACTCAATTGTTTTCTACATCTCTAGACAGAGTGACATTTTCATGATGATATTCAATAATCAATACAATTCACGAGGGGCATCCGAGGCAGTAGCAATTTTGCCTTTGCTTGCTGTCCTGGTCCGCCTAACCTCTCGCCTATTCGTAGGATTAATAGTGACTAAATGGGTGTGGTATTGATGATGATAGTTTGGACTCTTTAAATAGTATTTTAGACTTTAATTTTTTTTTAATGTAAGTATGAAAAGTATTACTTAAAAGAATATAACTCTTTAAATGAATTTTAAAATTTTTTTTTGAGCTATTAATCTCATGGTTACCTGTAAGAATATCTCGAAACATAAAACATTGTGTTTGGATAAGGGAAAAAATTGATTTTTCCCCTCCAAAATCAATGTTTTCAGCAAATTACTCAAACGGTCCAAAAAGCATATAAATACGGATTACAAGCTGATGGAATCAGCTTTTGCCAAAAGTTTATTAAAAAATGTTAAAGAAAATTACAAAAGAAAGTTCACAAAAAATTACAAATAAAGCACATAATTTAATAAAAATAAAATTAAACTCTCTTCTCTCTTCTTCTTTTTTTCTTAATAAAATTCAAATTTTGTATCCTCAAAAAATTAATGTTTGATATTTAAGAATTAGATTATATAGTAATTTATATAGTTAAAATTGATTCTGATTAAATTATCCAAACATTTTCAATTCTGTTAAAATTAATTTTAGAAAAACAGTATTCAAACAGATTGTGTTATAACATAATTAATTATGATTAAAATCTACTACGTAATCAATTATTTTTATAATTTATTATATCCAACTGAAATTCAAACGAACCCAAAGAAAAGAAGATCAATGTATTGTCCTCTCTCTCTCTGTTTTTTTTTTTGTAAAGAAAACAATTGTCCCATCCATGATTATTTTCTTTTAATTTTAATCTTTTACAATTTTATATAAGTAGAGTTAAGTATTCTATACGAGAAAAAAATATTTTAAAAATGATACATTTAATAACGATAAACTAAATTTTTGTTTCAAGTTAAAAAAATTAATTTTTTTTAAACTATATCAATAATTTAAGTACTTTTCTTTAGACATGATGGGGCAATTAAAATTTAAAAATGACTTAACTATAGGATTGGGAGAGAAATACTTATAGATTGTTATTAACTAATTTGACAAAATAAAGATAATTTAGTTAAAGTAACAAGGTTATCTTAAATTTACATCACCCGCAAATGTTTGCCCTTAACAAACTGTGTTTACATACTTTCATATTGAAATTGAAATGTCTTTACCCTTAACAAACTCTGTCTTTACATTCTTTCATATAAGAGTATTTACGAAATAATAACTCACATCAAAGCATGAAAAAGATGAGAAATGTCTTTTGTCTCGTGCCCAATGCATAGGAGGTGACGAATCAGTACCAAACACCAATTTGTACCGCTATTGACCGATCATTTCTGAGCAATATATAAATAAAAAGAATAGACTGCCAAAACTCCCTCGGAGACAAGAGAGAGGCGGGAGGGACAAGCAGCTCTTCGGAGATCTCAAAGGCCTTCTCTCGTTAATCCCAAAGACTCTTATAAACCTCTTCAAATCTCCTTCTTCCTCTGGAACTTCTCCATCCCATTCCCAATCGTCCTTTTCACTCAAAAAGTTTTCTAGATTCTTTGGAAGGTGTAGATATGGTGGCACTTTATTCAACGCGTTGCTGTTCTTCTTACCCATCGGTTCGATCGTCGCCTCAATCATATCCACATGCTCCTTCATCGTCCAAGTTAGGGAATCCTCATTTCCTGGTCTTTTCTTCTTCTTCCGCCTCCAAACGCTGTCTTGCCGCCAAGGTTTCCCTGAAATCTCCATCTGATTCCCAGCTGAATGCCCTCCACATGCCGCAGCAGGACGGTTGGTTTCCCTCTTCTCAGATATTTTCATTAAACATATGTGGTTTTATTACTTGTGCAAGATCAAATTGGCTTGCTGTGTCTTCTTCTCTACCTGCTGACCATCAGCGAAAATCTTTGATGATTTGAAAATCGGGACGAAAATATACGCAGGTCAACGGATGTGAATAAGATTTTAGGAGGGTTGAATCCTGTTTTTAATTTTGTTGTTAATCTGTCAAGTGATGCACGGAATATAGATTCATACAGATGACATATGACTGTAGGCGCTGCAGCAGCAGCCACGGCAACTCCTGTTAAAGATGAAACTGTTCTTCAGCGATTGAAGGGCGAAATCTTTTCTGTTGCATCTTCAGAAGAATCTGAAGGTTCGGTCAATGTTGATGGCAATGGAGATGAGTCCACTGTTAGCATCACTGTGGTTGGAGCCTCTGGAGACCTTGCCAAGAAGAAGATATTTCCAGCCCTTTTTGCACTCTACTATGAGGACTGTCTCCCTAAGGTCAGATTTTAGACGTTTTGATTTCTTTAATTATTATATTTTGGAAGATTTGGTTTTGATTAAAAGAATCTGTCTTATTTTAGCATTTCACCATCTACGGTTATGCTCGAAGTAAGATGACGGATGCAGAACTAAGAAATATGGTTAGCAAGACCCTCACTTGTAGAATTGATAAGAGGTAATGGCTTATGTCTTGCATAAAGGACATAGCGGCTGCTCTTAAAGAGCACTTTGCTTTGAAGTAGTGCAAAATGTCTGAAATCTCATTGTATAAGATAGTATTTAGTGCTCTATAAATGTAATTTTACCCCCTGCAAATTGATAGTCATAAACTTTTGTGCTTTTTAAGATAAATATTTTTCTCCTTGAAAAATCTTTTTTGTGTCGTTAATTGGATTATTGTTACATTGGTTGATGGTGTATGTTTTGTGCATTCTTGTTATACATTGGATGAATATCAATTTGATATAGAACTATGTCCTCATTGATATATAGATAGTGAACGTGTCAATATTATGTGCTGAGTAATTCTTGGTATGCTCATTTAAGTTCAACTTGGTTTTTAAAACTTTGATGGGAGACAATCAGGATACTGTTTGTTAGTTAATCTCATTTGGCTCAATCTAAAAATTGAAAGGGAAGTATTTTCTTCTAACAATATGCTACTAAATATAATTCTTTTAGATGGTATATGGAAGAGTTTTGGAGTGAAATTCCTCCCCCCTACTAGCCTAGAGTCTTGGCTCCACCACTGCTCGGTGAGTCATTTGAATTTGGGACTTCTCATTATGGGTGTCAAGATAAAACCATTTATGTTTTTAACAGCGCATATGTTGAACTGCCTAGATTATTTGCTCATTGTCCTTATTGCCAAAGCTTGGGGGACTTTTTAAATGTTTTCACAGTTATGTTCTGAATTTTCAGGGAGAACTGCAGTGAAAAAATGGATGAATTTCTTGAAAGATGTTTTTACCATCCTGGTCAATATGATTCTGAGGAGAACTTTGCAGAGCTAGACAAGAAGCTGAGAGAACATGAGGTGATTAAAGAAGGGGCTAATTTTTACAATTCTATTTATGGTTCCGGTTTCTCATTGAAGCTATATTTCCGTTCAGAAAATATTCCTTGTGGCATTGCCAGTGAACATAATAATAGCAGAAATTCATTGGAGATTTGCCAATCATCATTTCTGCACTGCGCTTCATTGACCTCAAAAAGGAAAGGGGGAAGGGGGGAGTGGAATTATCAATCATAATGTTTGAATAAGTGCTCCTTGTTGGGTTTTTTTTTACTATATAACTAGCGTTGACTCCCCCATGTGATGCACAGGGAGCATCAATTTTAAAAAAATTACATCACATAAATATTTGCAGAATTATTCATTTCATACAAATGAAAATAATGACCACATATTCATATCATTCATGTCACACAAGATAACATGTGAAATTACACATGTCAAATATTAGTTGTTTGCACAAGAAACCTGTATTTCATGGTTGTTACAATGGAGCAATAATTTCATAATCAATTACTTGGATTAATTAAAATATGAAATTATTGCATTAGATTTACTTTCGTTCTTGTAGATAACTTGAATTATGGTATGTTCCACGCATCAGCCATATAGGGCTAGCTACTGTTATGCTGCGGAAGGCTCTTGCCATGTGCTGTGAAGCTAAATGATTAGATAATAGATGCCTTGAATGACTTGGGATCCTTATCCCAGTGATTGATCACAGTTTCCTACTGTTGGTCTCCTATGAAAGAGAGATTGTCATTTCTGCAGTTTCAAGCAATACTTTCCAAAATGAAGAAAAATAAAAGCTATCAAGTGAAAAGCTGGAAAAAAGGGTTGAAGATACCGAGAA